AGGCAGCACGCAAAACCATGCCCCCTCCAGTCAGCACAAAAACCTCTCTCCATGGAATCGGTCCCTGTTGCCCAAAAAGTTGAGGGCCACTGGTTTAGCATATTGTACGCATCACTCAGAAACAACATGAATAGAAGAAAGAGTAGAGTAGAGTAGAGTAGAGTAGAATAGAATAGAATAGAATAGAATAGAATAGAATAGAATAGAATAGAATAGAATAGAATAGAATAGAATAGAATAGAATAGAAAACAACAGACTTTATTGGCCATGTGTAATTCGACGCACAAGGAATTTGTCTCCAGTACATAAGGCTTCAATATACATACAAACAATAAAATGATATAATCACAGGATACCAATAGGAGAAGGTAATAGGAAAGATGAGAAGGATAATAGTAATGCAGCCAGTAATACAGTATATGGTAATATAGCACTACAGATATTATTGTAATAATGCAATAAAACGGGAGTAAAATAATTTATCTTATGACATTTGGTAGTTTCTTTTCAAATGGCCATATAGTCATTATATACAAATTTATAAATGTAATTACCCGTGTTCTGGTCAGTCAGATTATACAATCTTCATATTCAGCTTCTTAGGACATACATAATTTTCATAGGCTTCCCTTTGTAAAGCATTCTCATACCATCCCCCTTTAAGATTCTCCAGGCAGGCCCTCACAGAGACTCAAGGTTTATCCAAATGCCACCAGGTTTGTTTCCCATTTCTCCACTTTCAGAAAGTGCAACTCCTGGCCTAGTTTTTCAAATTTCTAGACAGCTGATTCTCAGCAATTGTACTGCTGCTTCTTCCTTTTATCTTGGAAAGCCTGCTGCAATTCATTGGAGGATCCCGTTTTTCTCTCCCCTTCATTTCAGCTTGTGTACTTGAGAACACTTTCATTGGCAGTTGAAATACTTGCTGCTAATTGATGCTTATTATTTCTTTTGAGCCTATAATTGCTTTTCTTTTCTGAAATTTAAATTGCCTTGGTTTCCTCCCCTAATGAGTGAGTCTAGCTCCATTCCTAATCTTGCAGGGACAGTCTCAGTTTTAAAACAAAAAGTTTTCTCCACATCAGTGGTGGGATTCAAAAAAATTTACTACCAGTTCTGTGGGCGTGGCTTGGTGGCTGTGGTGTGGCTTGGTGGGCTGGCTTGGTGGCTGTGACAGGGTAAGGATATCTAAAATCTCCATTCCCACTCCACTTCAGGGGAAGGATACTGCAAAACCTCCATTCCCACCCCACTCCTGGGGGAAGATTACCACCAGTTCTCTGAACTACTCAAAATTTCCACTACCAGTTCTCCAGAACTGGTCAGAACCTGCTGAATACTACCTCTGCTCTATATAGTATATGGTTTCCATAAGGGTCTGCCTCATGGAAGAGGTTGAGATTTGAACCAGAGCTGTGTTTGGACCAAGCTTTAGGAGTTTGCATCAAGCAATGAGGGTGTCAAAAAATCCAAAATGACAGATATGCCCAAGGAATGAAAGTGTTGCCCCCTTTTTTAAATATGTATCAGGTGTAAAAAAAGAGGTAGAATTTCACCTGGTCATAGCTGCCATCTTTTTTTTTTACATCCCTTATTTGTACCAGTCTCTATTTATCTGTACCATGGATCAATAATGTAAATAATAATAATGTAATAATGTCCTCTTTATATGATATAATAGTATGGTATGGTACTATTTAATAAAGTAATTTAAAACACTATTTATAATAAACAATTTACCTAAATTAATCTATCATAATATTATTAACTTGGATTTTGCCTATCATTTCAGACCAGCTGGAAAGATTTTCAATTAGAAAAAGAATATTGACTTTTGATCCAATATGAGCCTGGTTGTTTTCTGGGTTTTTTTAAAGGATAAACATATGAGAAAGAAAGTCAACCTTTTTTTTTTTGGAACAAGCAACAAAATATTCAGGCTGAAGAGCACATGAGCTGCAGTGGTCTGTTGCCAGCTTCATAAGGATTCAACAGATGTTTGGGGGGAAACCTTGTAAATTCCTCACATCTGAGAAATTGCTAAGCAGCCTGCTAATTCAAACAAGGGACAGTAAGAGGACAAAGTCTCCAATTTATTATGGTGTGGAATTGGCATTTTTTATCCACCTATTCAGTCCTTCCCAAAGACCTGGGGTGCACAGATGTTGTTGTTCGATAGTGTTAAATGTAACATTGCAGGCAGTCAATCTTTGTACATTTGCAACAGGTAGCCTTCCAGCTGTTGGCTCTGATTGCTCAGTTAACAGTCCTGAGTCCATCAGCTTATTTATCACCAGATGTCCAGATACTCCAACACCTAGCACGGTCCTTGTTGAACTGGGCGACAACAAACCTGGTATGAATGTCTGTAAATTACATCTCGCCATATTGTTTACAGGAAAGACATGCTTTGTCTGGCTCCTCTGATGAGACCTATCCAGTATGGTTGAACCTTCGGCATAGGTCTCATCTTCCTCAGAGCACACAAGACCCACAACCACATCAAGGGGGTTATTATTATTAACCCCCTTTTTTATTTATTTAAATTTATAGGTAGCCGTGACTTACAACTTTTTGTTTAGTGGCTGTTCAAAGTTACAACGGCACTGGAAAAAATGTGACTTATGACCATTTTTCATATTTCCGACTGTTGCAGCATCTCCATAGTCACATGATAAAAATTCAGACATTTGGCTTGTATTTTCGATGGTTGCGGCTCAAGCGATTGCCTTTTGTGATCTTCTGACAATCGAAGTTTAATGGGGAAGCCAGATTTACTTTAGAACCATGTTACTAACTCAACAACCGCAGTGATTCACTTAACAAATGTGGCAAGAAAGTCATAAAATGGGTTAAAATTCACTTAACAACCATCTTGCTTAGTAACAGTAAACACAGTGTCAGACATAAAGATCTCAAATGCCTATATACAAATGCACAAAGTCTAGGGAACAAACAGGGTGAACTCGAACTACGAACACATGAAGGTAAATATGATATAGTTGGAATAACAGAAACTTGGTGGGATGAAACCCATGACTGGAACATACTGGTAGAAGGATACAAGCTATTGGAAAAAAACAGACCCCATAAAAGAGGAGGTGGAGTTGCACTGTATGTAAAGGACCACTATATTGCTACAGAAATGCATGAAACCAAAGATGAAAACCTCCTAGAATGCATATGGGTCAATATAAAAGAAAAAAAGTATGGTGTTATGTCCTGAGGACTCAAGGAGTTCTCACTCAGGTCCACTCACTTTGTGTGGGCGTTATTCCCCCATTCCCATTGGTCGGTTCTCCCCAGCAGCCAGCTATAAAAGCAGGCTGCGGGGTCCAACTG